AACAGATTAATGGAGAGGTATTTCTTGCACGCATCAAGTTGTCTTCCACATATCAAACACCATCGGGCATGTGGCCGGCCTGCTCCTGGCAATTTTTCCGTCATGCTTCCTGTTGGCCTTACCCGGGCCCAGCGCAAGCCAAAAAACTGCAAACCGTATGAACTGCTACTTAGCTAGTGCTTTGCTGACGAAGTCGAGCCTCATCGTATAAACATGTACAGTACATGTACATGTACTACACCGCCCGCCGTGCCTACTAGCTGATCCACCACCATTATTTTGCACAAAATTGCAACACAGTGAGAGTGTATAAACTAGTCTGAAACTTCCAGCCAGTAGCGTAACTAGGCAGCTACCAGGCTATTGTACAATTTCATGGCATGTGTGCGCGTGCGTGAAAAACAAATTGTCGCGCACGCGCACTAGTTTCCCCCCCGTTTTCAGGGATAACCTAGACGTTGTTATCAAAGTCAAGTCGTGCGTGCATAGTTAGGCGGCTAGCGGATCGTATGTAGGGATTATCATGCATCCAAATGATAACAACATCTAGCACCTAGACTATACCCACTGCTACATCTGACTCGCACCAGCCAGCCAACACCGGCAAGCTCGGTGGTCCAGTGGTAAAGATGTCTACACTTGTAAGCAGGAAGTCATGGGTTCGAGTCCCACCCGAGCACACTTGTGTTTTTTTTCCACAAGCTTTTGAGGGAAACATTGAGTAAACAATATACATTGGGCAGGGCAAAAAATCCAAAATTAAAATTAACATCTCCCCGATGCAAATCCATCCTTAGAAATGGTTTGGTTTATAACACTCTCTGTTCATAAATAATTCTTGTATGGTAGCCCAGAAAACCACAGGCCAATATGGTCCAGTGGTCAAGCTTACAGTTTGTAGTGTATTCAATTTTAATGGTTCAGTTACTGTACAAAATACATTTACTACGGCAACAGAAGTCTCTTGAAATTATTTTGGACATTTTCACAGTACTGGCTATATTGTGTTGAACATTTCCACACAAATCTGTGTAAAACAAACTTCAGGAAGAATTTAAGTTCCCCGCGTGAATCTGGTAAGAAAGCTTGAAGACTGGTTCCCACAATGCATTGTGAATAATGTCCCCTCAGTGTCAACCTCTTGGTAGTGCACTGTATTTTGAATTTGCTCTATTTAGTCATTTCTTATGGGCTAAGGAGCCCATAATAATCAGCAAAAACAATTTACACTTTATAGAAGTGGTAGGAAGCATGGTTCTATACAAGAAATAAGAAAATGTCAGACGGTTGTGTGGAGAATGTTGAAACTGAAACAAAATTCAAAAATTTAAAATGTTATAAAATGTTATCTAAAATGGGTATAATGAAGAGGCAAGCCTTAGCAGATTTTTGTTGGCTTTGATCTTAGATCTATGTTACTATGAAGTATGAAAGAAACACTGCACACATGCACGGCTTTTACAACATACATGGAAGTAAAAATGACAAATTTTCATTAGAATGTGCACACACCAAAGGTGCCTCCACATGGATGCCAGGCGCATGGCAGCAATGGTATCTGTCTGCCATACATGTATGTCTTTGTCAACACTGACTATCTGTACGCAATGTCCTTAAGGTTGAAGTCTGAATGTCACCTCAGCCTCCACGAACAATGATCAGTTATTCCTTACTTTTGTACAGTATATCTACAGATGTTTCTATATTCATTCTCTGATTTCTGTGATCTATTTCAAACTCACTTGCAAACTGTTCAGGATCGACAGCACTCATGAAGCCATGCACAGCCTGAAGAAACAAGACCAACGTCGAATAGAAGACAGGCTTCCTGACGTTAGCGGCCTCACTGGACTTAGCCCGACTGTAATGCTCATTGATATGTAGCCAGTTCACCGTGAACGGCCTGAGGATGGAGGAGAACCCAGGGGGTCAATTGCTATTGGGCTCACTTGCTCCACAACCTCTGTGTGAGGACTGATGAAATGCAGCCAATGGAAGAATTTTGAGATATTCCATGGCAACAAACTCAATGGTCATTTTCTATTGTTTGCTTCATTTCGAACATGCGCATATTGGCAACAACATGGCGCAAACAATAGCAAAACAGTGTTGGATTTGACACCATGATGCATCTCAAAACTCTCCAATTTTTTATTTCCAGCAAGAAATATGATCAGTTTTACTGTGTAAGCCTCAAGCTAGACCAAGAGAGGGCGTAATTTTCTTAGCAGCGGAGGCTCCTTTGGCCGGAAATGAACTTTGCTGGTTCATGAACGACTAGGAAATGCACACATTGCGGTCACATCGCTACCAAAAATGAACACTCCCGACCAATATGGCTCTTTTCAACCAATGAGAAAGTGCTTCTACTCAAGGCGGATTACGAAGTCTCACTGCAAATTTGCAGCTTGCTTTATACTGCAAAACTGCTAATCACTAGACAGTCTGTTTCCTCAATATACTGATATGATCAAGATTGAACTAATAAATGTATTGTAAGTTTGTGGTAAACATGACTGGTGGACAAGCTTAAACAATGATCACTAGCCACAATGACTAAAAAGAAGGTAGTCAGTAGATTTCATTAGATTGTAAATGCAACAACAGATTGTTTGGGAGATTAAAAAAAAAACAAGTCATTTACCAAGCAAAATGTGCTTACATAAAAGCAATTTTCCTCGAGAAATTCTTCGATTTTCATTGAACCAATTCTACAATTTTCGACAATGATCACACTTTTCCCACCTACCTGCCTTCATCAGGCACAAACTTTGTGTCCCATCCACACTTGTCAGCGATCATGACCAGCAGCTGACGGAGTTTCTCCCAAGGATGGGTCAGCTCCCCAAACCCAAAGCTCTGCCCCTTGCCTGCCTGGGGGGACAGCAGGGGTGCAGTTGGCCCTTTGGGGGTCCCATTGGGATCGGCTGTCTTCCAGGCTGGCTGGGTGGCATAGACTGTGTAGAACTCCACCGCTTTCTGCAGCCACTTGTGGTATTGCTTGGGCTGGCAGTTCACTTTCTTGCTTGCACAGATGACGGGGAGAACTTCGCAAACTAAAAATGACAAGATAATCCTTGTGTGAGTCATGTCCCTTGAAGATTAGCCTATATAGTCAAGACACTGTGAAACCATCATAAGACCCCACAAGAGTTGAACACTATCACAAGACCAACACAAGACCTCCAGTCTGAATTCAAGCCACAAGCTATTCAAATGAACGGCAACAAAAGCATGAATTCCTTTGTCACTGTTCAACATGCTACTGGTCTTGCGTCTGGACTTGTGACGGTCTTGACTACACCACTAGTACCACTAAGGAACAGTAACTCTACGTTTGGGATCCTGAGTAGTCCCCAAATCTTTTTCTTTAGCTCTACTTCAGGAAATTTTTTGACTTAATAGCATCAAATCTCACACTGCGCTTTGAATCTCTAAACCTTGCTTCAAATATAAGGACTGGACCAACAAGAAATGATTAAAAAGGAACTTAAGTCTGGCTGACAATTTCAGATTGTTGAAAGCCTGATACAGTAACATGCACAGTCATAGAGGCAGCAATGGCCGACATGTGAAAGAAACTTCGTGCTTTGAAATGAAATGTTTTACTGATAAAAACAAAGCATGCTTTCAATCAAAGTTGTGCTTTTCTTGCATTGTATATAAATGAATAAGTGATATGAATACTTTCCAACATAGGTAGGCCGTCAAAAAATCAACTAAAAGGACAGACAAACAAGTCCTTATTATTGTCCTGAAAGTATGAAGCAGCTGCACGACCAAAACAAATTTGTAACATTAACACAAACAGCCCTGAATACTTCAAAGTAGTAAAATGTAGTACTGAGCGCTGTCGCTTGTAAGAGGACATGACTTTATTGTTCGCTGAAGCCATAAGATACTATAGATAAGACAATGTACCATAGTGCTGTGGCACTATGAATGCACGACTTTATTGTTCTTGGTACAAGTAACAATGGGGGGTGCTCTAACCAGAGGTAGCAATTTGTAGTGCTAGGTCCTTCAGGCTCAGACTACTACTTAGTATTTTGTAGTACTGAGTACTGTAAGCCAAACGATATGAGTGACTGTTAGGGTTAACATGACAAGAAACTCAGATGCAGTAAGAGGCAAACTTCCCTCTAAGGTGCAGCAAATGTGCACGTCTGCATATCCCTTGTTACATTGGGCAGTCAGCAGCAGCAAGCATCAACTGCCAGTGTTGTAATAAATGAGAGCTAGTCTCTTTGAACAATGCCTGAATGGATCACAACCTCAAAGTTTGAGGTCCTGTGACATTCAGGATAACACTCTGAGGACAAGAAGTTGATTTCTTCTATTTCTTGTCCGAATTTTTCCAACCCCCAACACACCCTGACTAAAGAACAAACTGGGGAATAAGATAATTGAGAAACAGAACTGACCCATGACCCTACGGAAACGGTTGACTGCTAGTTTCTCTCCTTCATTCTTCTCCGCATCCAACAGCATATCAACGAGCGGTTCCTAAGAGTCAAGTGCAGAATATAGAAGTCAGTTGCAATTAAACAACAAAGCAAAAGGTGGGAGTGGCATACGAAGTGTTCACCAATACCTGCATGCCACCCATGTTTCATTCATTTTAGTCCCTGAGAAATATTTAACAAAAGATCTTGCAGAATGGCAGGCTTACCCCATGCTCAGTGATGGCGTCAGGAAATCGGTTGATGAGCAATAACTTCAGCTGACATCTCTCCAAGATGTCACTACAGTGATCTGCAACACACGAGACATCAAAAACTTCAGTTCTTCAATTCTGCCCACGAATTAGGCCACACCCACTTCAAAACCCTCAAAAGAAGCAACTACATGTATATGTACATGTACCTGAAAGTCCATCATGTCTTGTAAAAAACTGTTTCCCTCCCTGTCACACTTCACTGCCCTCCACAGGCACTCTGTTTCATTAGAACAATGCCCTGACATTATTAGGTAAACATTTCAAAACATTTTTCATGCAAAAGTTGACAGCGTTGGGTCACATTTTACAGGAAGTTTTGATCAGAATAGAATTGGACTGTCAGAAATTCCATTATACCATTGGAACCAGACAGCCCCCGTTTTTGGCCAGAGTTCCACGGCTGGGGTGTGATTTGGGGAAAATGAAAATCCATGAGACATTCGTCGGAGGGTTTGCAAGTCACATCGGCCACAGCTTCCCAAAAATTTGCGGCATATCTATTTGATTATAGGAAGAGATTCAGGTACTACATGTAAGCCACCACAAGAGCTGTTCTTACTTTGAGGGATACAATTATAACATTTACTGCAACAAAACCCTTGTCCTCATTCACTTCAATTGCAATTATACACGTTAGCTATAATTGGTGACAATCAAAGACCTAGAAGTGTAATACACACACACGCAGTAATCAGTGATCTACAAAATTCTATCACAATTTATTAAAACTGAAAACTGTCTCATACAGATGAGTATTGCATTACTTGTGACACCATGGGCACTTGCAGTACCCAGGTCTGTCAATTTTCTCGAGAATGTTGCAATAATATATATATTATCCATTTCCCCTTGGTTAATTAATTCTCTGTCCACCTCGGTTTCCAGCAAGGAAAATTTCCATGTCTACATTCAGATCCCCTTCCCTACCTACTACCTTATATGACATTTTTTGACGGACTTCGACGACATCAGACCACCACGAGAACAAAACGAAACGTAACGGCAGACGGACGCAAGTTGTACACAGTGCGTACAACGACAACGTGTACCGTGCATATACACACAGCGAACGTACAGTACATGTACATACACACAACGATCATATTGCTGGCCTGGGTCCCTATGTTTTAACAGTGATACCCCCTCCATTCAATGTACTATTACCTATGTATCTGGCGCATTTCCAGGGGGAGTAACAATGCAAAAGCGCATGCTATACACCTAAACTTGTGCAAGTCTTTCACTTAGTTTCGCACCAAATATTGTAGTCTTTGTGTTACATAGTGAAAGCAATGTCATATACGGAAATCCGGAAAGTCTCACAGAAATTCCGGATAGTCTCACAGAAATTTTGGAAATCGGGAAAAATCCAGACAAATCACACCCCTGCCACAGTCTCTCGTATGGTGGTTTTGCCAAATCAAGAACAGAGCAACCAGGGCAGGTAAATAGAGACAAACAAAATATATGATGCTCTTTGCAGTACCTGCACTAAGAAGTAAGATGTCAAATTGAGCCTTGTCTGGTAGTGATGAAAACACCTCTGAGATGATGGAAGGCATGAAAAAAATACAAACACAACATTTCTTGTTATATAAAAATGTGAATTCAAAATAAGAAAAAGAAAAGTGATCAAATTCAATTAATGTTTTTGTCTGTGAGGGGATAAACTACTGTTTATTTAAGGAAGGGCGGGGGGGATTTACATGTGGCAAAATGCAGAGCCATTGGTTTTACATCTGATGGTGAGTTTTTGGAAAAAGACAGCCAAAACTGGCTTTTGCCTCACAGACGTACTGATATTGTGAAAAGGTTTCTGTTGGAGGATTTCAGACCATTCACTGTATTTGTCTGAACAAAAGGGGGCATACTGTGTCAATATGTTCCCAACGGTGGTGGAATGCTTTTTAAAGTTGGAGGGGCGGTTGTGAGACCATCAGGCATCAGCCATTAATAAGCAGATCCATTGAGCTCCACCCTGTTATAATAGGACTTCCAAAAAGTGGGGGCCCATGCCCTCCTGGTCGAAAGAATGGGAGGGGGCTCCCTGGTCCCCCTGCTTCTGCCACCAGTGTATCTTCCAATGACATACATGTACAGAGGTATGAATGAGAAAGGAGGGTCACGAACCCTATGCAGTCCACTCTTATCTACAAGTATCAAGCTCAATGCTGTAATGGAAGCCTTGCATACCAAAGGGTTTTGACAATTTTCTAATCCATTCAGAACCAGAAGGTGCAAAAGAACCAAAAACCTTCAACATTCAATATGCTGTACTGGTTCAGAAAGTTGCATGTGGATGAAATGCATTGCAAAGACACTATATTGTTGATTAAAGTTGACCTAGAAATTAGTGTACTGTATATAAATGGCTGGTTAATTAATTTTTGAAAAATATAATAAAGAACAGAACAATTAATCAAAAATAATCCTAAACCAGTGGATCAAATCTAAGATACCTCTCTCCAGACTACATATCATGATAAGTTGACAGCATGTGAGTGCATTTTGCTTTTTCAACGATTTCTCTCCAAATCCCCACCATCCCAACCAAATTAAAGAAAACCAATGTACATGTACCTTGTAAGAACAGCCCATTTTCATCATCCGTGTTAGATTTCAAAGCACCTGTTACTATCTGAAGTTCCTTCCATAGCGCCGTTTCCTGTTTGAACTGCTCGAACCTGTGTAAAAATAAATTCAAAAGAAAAAGTCAACCTAAGAAAAAGTCAATCTAAGAGATTCACTTCAAAGAAAAGCAATCAACTGGCACCCAAAAGAACAAAAATGTTATAAATTTCTGTTTGTTCAATCTATCTGTCCCTGATAAGTGGCTCGAATTCTTCAAATCTCATCCGGGAGATTAATTTCAGGATTTAACAGGGTGGAGCCCTGTGATCACATTCGTGCATGCTGAGTGTTATTTACTGTCATTGGCTCCTTTTCCAGCAGTTGATTTCAGGAAATGAACACAAACACAGGAAGAACTTTGACTTACATTTCTAAAAGCAGCACTGATGCTGGACGCGAGTTTCTTGCAGACTTCTCGATGCAGTAAGCTTCAAACTGAATTAGAAATCCATCACAGATGAACAACAATGCTAAAGATTATGCACAAGAACCTTTCAAAATGTTAGTACCAATTAGTCCACCTGCATCTCAGTCAATAGCGCTACACTGTCAGTCAATCAATCTTTTAGGAAATCTGTTACTTTACTTCCACTTTTATTTGCGTGGACCAGAGTCTTATCTTGCCATATTCTTGGCCACACGTCCATCAATGCTACTGTTATTGCCAGGCAAACATTTGCACACCTCTGTGCACGTCTGTGCACATTTGTGCCTCAAGCATTTTTAGGTGACATCTTCCTAAAGTCCCTAAACCATTTCAAGATTTGAAATTTCTGCCATACACAAGGCAAGCAAACATGGACTTTGACAAAAATGAGGAAATTTCAATATTTACAAGACTTTGTACAGTGTTTTCAATTGGGAAGCGTTCCAGTTGACACCCTGTGCAGAAAACCTATGAGACTGGTCAGAAAAATTCTAAGTGTTCTCTAACTAAGTAAACGACTTCGTTTTTTCCCTCCTAAATTGGACATGGACTGGACATGTTTTTTCTTTCCGACGGCCAACAGATCACTTAAGGGAATAATTACTGATACTGGCATCTGTATGTGGACCTCTTTCCTTTCAATTTTCTATGACACATCAGGGTGAAGTGAAAATAAGGAAATCAGCTGATCCAAGGAAAAGTTGCTTTCCTGACTGTTTAACCACTTCAACTACATTGATTTTTTCATGTCCACACTGACCTAGACAAGCCAATGCATGGAGTGCATGGGAAAAATGGCTGCAGTTTAAAGAGGTTTAACCCTAACTGCCAAGCATATTGTTTGGCTTACACTACACAGTACTACAAAATACTAAGTATTAGTCTGAGCCTGAAGGACCTAGCGCTACAGATTACTACTTCTGGCTAGGTTACTTCCATTGTTACTTGTACAGAGAACAATAAAGCCATGCATTCATAGTGCCAGAGCACTGTATGGTACATTGTCATATCTGTTGTATCTTATGGCTTCACAGAACAATAAAGTCATGTCCTCTTACAAGCGACAGCGCACAGTACTACATTTTACTACAACACATTAGGGTTAATGCTGTCTTGGGGGACTCAGCCTCAGGTTGGAATGTTCGAGGTAGGCCCCTATCGGCCAAAAAATGAAGGAAAAGGACAATGAGATGGTAGGCCTATGTGTGTGCAAATATGTGCAGAAGTGCCCAATTATTACCATGATTACAGTTGTAAATAGATGTGTGGCCGAAGACAGGCCAGCACTGCAGCAAAGTGAGTCTTCTGACCATACTTGTTGGTACCTCCAGAATTGTGGGGTACCGGGTCCGACGTCCGCTCCAAGCGGGGTGGACATCGGATACCACAGTTCTGGGGGTAACTCGTGGGGCTACATGTATGATTAATCGTAATATCATAACTGGGCAAGGCCATTTTACATGCTAACTAGAGCTTCCATCTCGAGCATGTCGAGTTAGCATAGTAATTCGTATTACTATACGCAAAGGCTCACCTGTATTCCAAAGTCCTGAGGGTGTAACGTTCTTGCCGTGATAAGCAAAGCTTTGGCAGAGTGTGGGTCGCATTTTAGACATTTCTGGGCTCTTTCTACCAGCCATTTGGGGCCGTAATTTTGAGACGTCATGTTGTTTATATTTGTGTTCGCGCACTACACACGGTCTCCTATCTACTTATACTCCGTGCCATTGACGTAGTCTGGTTCCCAGACCAGGTAAATCTGACCAATCTGACTATTCCTCTCGATTTTATACCCAGCAAGAAATGAGACCGAGGGGTACCCCCCCCCAACATGTCCAATCCCTATACACATTCCAGACCATTGTTATTTAACACATCCCCCCCAAGATGTCTGAAAGGAATTCCCAAGATTCCTGCGAGACAATGACCAACACAAAGCGGGGGGGGGGAGTCTCCGTCTCATATCTTGCAGCATATGTCTCGATTATACTTTTTCAACGATCCTGGGCCGTTTTCCAATACTCAACTTCGTCTCGGTCTCAGGTTCCGTCCTCGACACCAATCCCCGTTTGTGGGCATGAAGCGTTTAAATCAAATTGGATTCCTGTAAGTTTTTGCTCTCTTGCATCTTATTTGATGTTTTGTGGCACTATTAGACTAATTAGTGCGTTTACAGCTTCAAAGTCAGGTAGTAAAAAAAACAGTTGAAGCCTGAGACGGAGCCGACGTTGAGTATTGGAAAACAGCCCTGGATTTGATCTCGTATCGGGCAACAGCTTCGTTATAAATAGGCCTATTTGTAGCCGACGACGGGATAGTTCAGTTTGTTGGTTTAGACTTAACATGTTTTTCGATGATTCCCATGTGCTTCTTTTCCTACGTTCTCAAACTTTTTCCATTAAGTTTGTATTTAAAAAATTAATCCATTAAATGCACTAATTTTTAAATTTTAATCAATAGTTACTGGGCACATGAAAGACATTCAAAAGTGGAGCCAGACTGGCTCGTCATCTTTTCACCATATCAACCCCCCCCCGCTGCGTTTTGGGTTGATAAAAATGATGCCAAGTCATTTTTCTTTGTTTTGCTCTCCATTCGTCAGATTGCTGTGATTTTGTTTATGCGAACTTTAAAGTGTTGTTTGCTACGGAAGCGTGTAAGGGTCACTTGCTAAAAAGTTTTCGAGATACTATCTCGCCGCGGCGAGTTATAGTAACTCAAAAAAAATTCTGCAAGTGGCTCTTATACGCCTCCGTAAGATATAATATACGTCAATTTTCTGAAAATCTGTACCTGATGACAAGGGCTTTTGCAGAATAACCCTCGGGAATCATTGGAATTAGCCAACCTGACCTACAGAGCGGATCGCCTGTATTTTGTCTATGAGCGTTCGACGCTCAGTAATACTTTATTTTGTGCAACAGCCAATTAATGTATTCTGTAAGTCCTGCGCATCGGAAGTCAACATGTTCGCGTTTTCTAAGATCAAACAGAAAAGTATGGAGAATCTTGTTGTTGATTATAATTACACAAAATATGCTGAGAAGGGAACTCCTAAGTACAACCGTCTCCGAGACCTGGACTTGTTCGTCCTGGACAACTCGACCCGTGAGAGCACCGTGGGGCAGTTACGGGGGCATACTCTGGAGGACAAGTGACGGGTGTTCGATGAAGTCAAACGGTGTGGATTCAGCGACATCATCGTTGCCGCGTTCTCGCACATGACACGCGTGGATGACATCTTCGTGAAGAAGCTGGTGCAACAAGGCGAGAACCCTAGAGGGTTGTATGCTTTCTCTGAGGTAACTGCATGTAGGTGTGATATTATGAAATTCCAATGCAGCCAAACTTATTGTTTGGGTTTTAACTCACTCCAATCTAATCAACGAACTTACATGTATCCTCACTCAAAGACACCTCCTTAAGTATAACGCAATCCTGATACAAACCGAAATCCATCCTCGTCATCATGATCAAAGCAAGGCAGAGGAGACAAGTAACAAACAGTCATAACAAAAGCCTTTCGGGGTTTGGGCACAAAATATTAAAATGGAAATATGCCATTATGATTTTGCCATTTTTTTCTTCATTTGAAGGCACAAAGATAGGATTCCAGACACAGAGACCGTCCCCGTAGGATTGCGCAAGATGAAGGAGACGGGGCTTTGGAACGCGATCTTAGAGGTGGACTTCGGCGATGGGGTGTACGACTTCAGCCGCTTCAGCATGGAGGACCTGAGCACGATGGTCAAGAAATGGATCTTGTGGGTGTACGACAACCTGAATCGAGACGCCAAAGTCCTGATCAACTTGCGAGATCTGACCGATATCATGCACACAGTGCCCGTCCGGGCCTTCCACCTGGTCAAGTTCTTGGCCGAGATGCCCGAGGATGTCCGTTCCTTTGGTTTGCTGTTCGAGGAGGCCAAGGGCACCTGTATGCCTGAGGAGTGCGGTAGCTGGGCCAAGTACATCCGTAAGATCATGGACGCTCACAACTGGGATGGGAAATTGCTGGTACACATCCACAATCTGGAAAGCAGACTAACCACATATCATGCTAACCCAGGCTGGGTATTGTGAACTTAAACACTTCAGGATGAAATTCGATCTATCTTCCCCACACTGTAACATGACTTAATGGCAACCTCGCTCGACAAGTTAGTCAAAGCCTGCCCTAAAAAGCTTTTTCTTCACTAGAAGTTCGTTTTTTCACCAACGCAGAGCTTCTGTTACATAATGGACATAATGGACTCTTTAAAAGTTCAAAGAAACGACACTGCCACCTCGCTCTGCGTTTTAAAGCAGTTAAAAAAAAGAAACCATCACAGAGCAAGACTATGCCAGAGCCCAACGAGTTTGGACTGCTCTGCTTTTAACCATAAAACTCTGGGGGACTATCACGATCTCTACGCATAAATGGACACGCTGTTGCTCGCGGGTGTGTACTTAAACTTTCGCCGTGTCTGCCAAGACAACTACGGTTTAGACCCAGCCAACTACTACACGGCACCTGGTCTCTCTTGGGATGCGTTACTAAAACACTCCGTCGTTAAACTCGAACTGCAGACATCGACGTGCACTTGTTTTTTAATGTGTCAAACGAGGTGGCGTGTCTAGCGTTGGTATAGTGCTCGGTATGTTAAAGCTAACAAGTCCTTGCCAGACTACAACTTTAGTAAACTTACCACTTACGGTTTGTATCTAGACGCAAACAACCTACGGTGGGCCACGTCTCAATTGTTACCTTATAATGCCAACTTTCACTGGGTTAAATCAAACAAGTTTATCACCGAGCGCGTGCTATCGCTCTCTCCATACTCTGTAACCGGCTATCTACTCGAAGTGGACCTCCACTATCCCCAAGGAATCCATGACCTGCACAACGATTTTGCCTTGGTACCGGAGAACCTTGTGATACCTGAGGCTTGGTTTTCCCAGTACCAAAGAGACTTGCTAGACCAGAATCAAGAGCACTGTCTAGCAGTCGATAAGTTGACGGCCACGCTTTCGCCTAAACGCAAGTATGTGGTGCACTGCAGAACGCTTCAACTGTACTTGCGTCTGGGTCTAGAGTTGAGAACGGTACACCACGTTTTGGCTTTCGCACAAAAACTTCGGATGCATCTTATATAGACAGAAACACCCAACTTCGTACCCGAGCCAACTCAGACTTTGAGAAAGGCTTCTTTTAAACTCATGAACAACTCGGTCTTTGGTAAAACGATGGAGAACGTGAGAAACCGCATTGACGGACACTTGCTTCGAGACAAAGAAGACGCCGGCAAGTTCAGCCGTCTGTCATCAGTACCCAGCTATAAAACAACTACGGCTTTTTCCGAGTGTCAGTTGTCGTTTTTTGAAACGTACAGAACCAGCACTACACTAAACAATCCGATCAACTGTAGTGTAGGTATCCTCAATATGTCTAAAACGTTGATGTACGACTTTTATTACTATCAACTAAAACGCGACTACAAAGACCGAGTGAAGTAGGTTTATAGAGACACAGACTCTTTGTTGATCTCGGTTCAAACGGAAAATGTGTATGTATACTTGAGAAAATAAAAGACAAGCTGGATTTAAGTAACTTACAAGCACGTGTTTTATACAGTGGCTAAAAACAAATTGTCGTTGAGTCCTTTGGATACCAAACAGTTTTAGTTATGAAACGGGGTAGATACTTTAGCTTGCGGTCAGTACCGAGCCGTATCAGAGTCGGGCGGTAACTCTGTATCTTTGGGTACCACTAAGCTCTTCTCGAACAAAAACGCTTGGGTCCGTCAGTCAGGTAGTACAGCATTGGACCCGTCATTACCTTTTTACCGTTAACTCGTTTGAACTGACTCGTGCGCTTTTCGGTACACGTCAACGCTCCAAATAGGATCGGTTGCTCTTCTAACCGTGCCATCCTCTTACTCACCCGGGTAATACAAATTTCGAACCAAGGCGTCTGGAGGTAAAGGAAGTTCTGTTTCTCTCTGGGGAGCCGCTGGCAACTGTTTTACTCGATCTAGCTGGATAGTTTCTAAAGGAACCGCGTGAAAGCCTCGCTTGTCTCGTATTAGCCGTTTTTTTCTTCGTTTAGAGCTCACGACTTGAGGCAACCTTGTAACCCATTCCATGTTTCGCTCACTTGGATTTGACATTTCTTCTGCGTACTGATAACCAAACAGTCTTTCGGCTAAAGTCCTGTTAAATCGTTCTACGATCCTTTGCGATTAATGAACCCCCGGCTCACCTACTAGCACTTGGACGCCCTTTTTTATGAGCCTTTTTTAAAAATTCGTCTTTAAATTTCGAACCAGAGTCTTTATTAAGCGTTTTAGGCCAAGTCAACGGAGATCTGCCTTACAGCGTCTGTCACTTGTTCGGCTGTTTTGCTTGTTAAAGGTATGCTTCTTTGTATCTAGAAGCAACGTCGACCACCGTTAAGCGTATTTATGTGTTTTACCTCTTGGACCTTTTAGCACGTGATCGCAGGGTATCAAACGGTTTAGCACAGTCTGTTCGTAAAGTAATCCGCCTGGGTAAATACCCCGGGGCAGGTAGATAAATTTGCCAAATGGCTTCTTTTGCTAACCAGGCTCTTACTACGCTCTTATCGATGCCGGTTTTCTAGTGTAAAAGTTTATCAATTCCCTCTCCTTGCCATCCATCTCTCTCTTTTGAAAAAGAAGGAAAAAGGTTAAACCTTTTACCAGTATATCGATAGACGAGATAACCCACGAGGGCACTTCCGCCGAGAATCCAAACTAGTTCTCTTTCTCTTTGGTACCCGTGATTTCACTGTATACCATCAACGCATGATCTACATCTTTAAACGTTTTTTCTGACGGTTTTTAAAAAATCTAAAAGTCAGATACAATTTTTTACCCCCGTTCTTTTGCTTGAGCTAATTGTTCTATAGCTAAATCGTGTCTCTTACGTTCTTCGTCGAACGTTTAAAGTTCACCGAGATTCAAATTTAGTTACAATTATGATAACAGACTTAAATCTTAGATTGCAGTTGGGTAAAGAAGTCTCCAAACTGTTAAATCTGCTAAAGGTAAGCTAGTACCAAAGGTTATTTACAAAGGAAGAATATTAGTACCCTTTCGATGAGCTTTGGATACACTGCTGCGAGTTAAACACGTCTCATAATTATTATAACTGTCGACCTTCAGACGTGTGGTGCAGTATTACAGACCCAAGTGAGATGACAAACCACTTAAAAACGGAAAAATAACAAGTTTCCATTTTTCGGTGAGAGACGACAGGGGAGAAGTGATTAACAACAAGGGCGCTGGAATTTTGATCGAGTTTGAAATCGTTTAGCTACCCACATTTTTTTAAAGTGTATAATTAAAAAGAAACCTTAACAACCATGAGTACATGTAAGTTCCCAGAGATCTTAAGGCCTTATCCCGAGTTATCAGAGCGTGAAGAGCGCGAAGCAGCGAAAACCAGAGACACAACTCAAAAAGATCGAAGACGTCAAAGCACAGATTTTGACGGAAAGAAATCGGAGAGAAACCACGTATAAAAAATAAAACGGATACTCACTGCGCTCAACTACATAGAATATGCAGTCGAAGCATTGGGTGCGACGTCTGCTGCTAAAGGTATTCCCGCCATGTTGGGTGTAATTATGGCACCCGTGGGGCTTTTGATGGAAGGCCTGGCTGTCGGTACTTTTGGTGCTTACGCCGTATTAATATATACGCCGGTCGACGATTGCATGCCAAGTCCAAGAAAACACGACCAAATCCGAGTACTTTGTGATGGCAAGTTAAACATGATCGAAGAATACATCTTGCAGGCCATTAACGACGGTGATATTTCTCGCGAGGAGTTTGTGTTGATCACTGGTGAGTTAACGAGTTGAAAGAAAACTCCGCAGCAGGACAGATACGAAACTCCAAGCGAGTGCAGCGAGCAACAAGGAAATCGAAGAACGCAGTAATCATTTAGCCAGAGACATGTTTGACAAGGAAATAAAAACGATGTTGGAAAACTACACGAGTAAATGAAAAGCGTTGTTGGTCGTTTCAAATTATAAAACACCAACACGGTTGGAATGTGAACTATGACCGAAAAAGTAATCTACCCAGTGACCACCAAGTTACAAGCTCCACCTTTAGTTTGAGTTTGAACCTAAGAGATTTAATCTAAAATTAAACATTTCAAACATGAAACTAGGTCTAAGTTTAAGGTCGATTCTGAATTTGAGCTTATGTCTAAAAATAATTCTACGTTTGAATCCTCTATGGGATCGTTAAATTTATAATAAGAGCAATTATATAAATCGTCACAACAGAAACAGTTTTCACAATCGGACTTTCAGAGTTGCTACAATCGGCAACGTTAACGCAATTAACGCTGTCGTTACAGTTAGAGCAGTCAACACATATTTCACAGTTTTCACTTTCATAACAGTGTTAGCAATCTACACAATTAAAACAACAAACACAATATTTACAGCGCTAACAACCAATAGATATTTTAGTTGTTTTACAACCGCAACAATTTTCAGGTCTGACGCTATCGATACAATAATCACAATTTTTACATAACTCACAACGCGCACAATCTTTATTAAAACGTATCGGTTTAGTTTTGTTTAGCGATATATAGTTTTAAGTTTGGGTCTCAAGTCTGGTCTCGTCGTCACTGTTCTTAGGGTAGCGGTTTTAAAAGAAGTCAACATAATATTTTTCCTTTTTAACAAAATGAAGCCGGTAGAGCAAATGAATAAAGTAAGAGAGACTTTTGTGGTAGATCTTCCGTTTCGATTTTGGAACGGAAGATTTTTTTTGAGAGCGCGAGAGATTTTTAAGATTTCTCACTTTTTAGGGTTGAGTAGGTACCCAAGGAAACAAAATGGACTAGAACTCTCCATGTCATACTACTCAAGTCCAAATGACTACTTGGCATTGTGAATTTTTTTAAATCAGTAATTATTTGCGTCTTTGCCTAACCTAACCTGTGTA